TTTTTTTTTTTTTTTTTTTTTTGCTTCTTTTTTTTTGCGCGCGTAATCGTAAAATATACGACAATAATAAATATTCGTTTAATCGATGTGACGACGTAACGATTGAAACGGTAATGGTGGAAATCGATTTAGCAAACGCGTTGTTTGTTAATTGTCGTGCGGACAATCAACAATACAAATTTACTTACGTCGTCACACTTGATATTCGACTTAGTAACTAAGAAAAAAAAAAAAAAAAAAAACGCATTGCAATCAAGTACATATTTCACTAAACATTTAGGAAATGCATTAATCGATTGTTTACGAAGAAGGAAAGGCGGAAAAACGTTTTTTTTTTTTTTTTTTTTTTTTTTCTTTTTTTTTTTACCTTGAAACTTCGTGCGATCCTCAACAGCGAACATCTAAGTTTAAAAACTACGGTAATTCTACGGTTAAGTGCTTCATTGTGCATAAACAATGTCTTTTATCGAACAACGAAGTCTCTTTACGTATAATTTCGTATCGATAATTGGTACGGAATGTCTGTAATCTCGCGAATTAATCAGACACGTGTTAATCGAAATCACCGAGATTTTTTTTTTTTTTTTTTTCTTTTTCTCTCTTCTCTCTTTTTAATCTTTATCATCATAGCTATAATTAAGATTCACCGTGTCGCATTACGAATCATTACGCACAATATATTTCGTCTCGCTATATTCAAGCTTTGAACGTATCCTTCCTAAAATATTACGAAGTAATTATATTTTTTTTTTTTTTTAACTATTCCTAAGAATTTCGTGATATAGATATGATCTAACGATCGGGAGTAAATAGAATTTTTTCATTCAAGATCATTTTGGGATAAAGCGACACGCGAAACGTAAAAAAAAAATTGGCAAAGGTTCGAATTTTTGAACGGTAACGCGACACATTCGAGACTCGTGAAATCGCGAAATAAAAAAGAAAAAAGTAAAGTAACGAATAAGGATAAAAAAAGAACAGGTTAAAAGATACAATTAATTTCCGGACCGTATCGATCGATCGAAAATTACATTCTCGTCGTATGTATATGTATATAAGGTTATATATAAAGTACGAACGAAGAAGATTTCTCGTTTCTTTATACAGAGACAATGTTTACACGAAGTCACAGGTGAAAAGAATAAAACTCTTTCAGTTCTCTTATATTCTCTTATACGCGTTCAACTGTGGTAAACATCTGGAAAGTTATAATACGTATGTATGTATGTATGTATGTAAAATGTAAAACTAGATAAATTGTGTGTAAGGCACTGTCTATGCGCTCCTTTCAAGTAGCTAAGTTCATCTTTATCGCAAAGAAAAATCATCGAGCACGCGAACAACGAGACGTGTAAACAGAGTCAGTGTAATACTATACGAAAGTTGTTGTTCCGAACAATTTAGCGACGAGTATCTCGAAGATGGGAAGAACGCCATCTCTTGCGCGTCTTACATTTTCTCATTTTATCGTCGTCGTGTTACTCGCATCGTGAAATCGTCCTCATAATTCTTCTAGTATTCTCGTGCGATATGGATATTTTTTTTTTTTTTTTTTTTTAATAATATATCGTCAATTCTATTACCCGTTGTGCATTATTCAAAAAAAAAAAAAACTACAAAAGAGATTCGTATGCGCTCCATCGATAACCATCGCTCAGTCGCGTCGATTATTATCGATCGATCTCGTAATTTCTTTTCCCCCCTTGAACGCGATAGTTATCGAAGCATTTTTCGCGCATAATAGTAATAACCGGTGCGCGTAACACAGATCTCAATGCGGAATATTATCGATTATAAAATCGACATAAGCGAATATACGATTAAAGGGAAAGAAACGTGTTAACGATCACTTAAAAAAAAAAAAAAAAAAAAAAAAAGTACTGTACAGTGTTGACTAGAATTCTTATTAGAGAACGCGTTAACAGGATTACAAATTGGAATAAAATCTTTCGATTTCTTATCACTTTACACTGAAAGCGCAGCGATGAGAAACGAAAGCGAGAGCATGCGCGACGAAGATTCTTGCTGAAAACGCGTATCACAAATATAATAAAGGGATAAGGATAAAGCTTACGAAATTAGGATATCGAATCGTTCGAATCGTTTCTTATCTTTCTTTATTCGAACGGGATGAAACGTGCATCCCTAATTTGTTTCGC